CTTGTACCCATCTCCATATTTGAGATCCATTCTCATAAGCTCCAAACGGGTGACCCTCAAAAGATGGATATTATGTTCTTATTCACCCTCCTATAAAGATATTAAGAAAATCTATTTTCGATTTCCCATAATACCTTAATCTTTAGAAAAAAATATAGGCGTAGTGATTTAGTTATCACCAAACCCAATATACTGGCAGTAGCCTTTCATATTTTAACATGATATCAAAGCATATATCTCTTTGTGTATGCTTGACTATATACTTTCTCTAGGGTTATTCTCTCGAAATGGCCCCCGCAAATGATAGAATGAGTGCTTTACCAATTGAGATCTAGCCTCCATTGTCTCTCTTGCCCATTAGGTAAGCCGGCATAACCTCCACTCTCTCTCATAAATGGCGATACATTTGAGCTTCTATACCCACCTTAAACATCGACTTTGATGGTACAGGCCCTCGTGATAGGAGACCACAAAGTCTTTGTAGTTAGAAACAGATGCCCTCGCTCTCGACCAGGGACCCATTCTAGGGTTTAAGTTTGAGAAACCAGTGGGAATTAGTAGCTCTTATCTCGATCGATGGCTCCGCTTTCTAACCAGGAGAGGTCTGCAATAATTTACCCTCCTCTGATTGGGAGGTTGGGTATTCAATGATGACGATGCGTATGAACTTGAAAGTTATGTGAACCCGAAGCCTCGATATACATTGCATTCCTCAAAGTTTTCATGTGATTCCCTGGTTTCTTTGGAGCTACTTGATTGCATTCTTGACTCCCTTTCTGGATTCAATGGCTTTACCTCTCTCAAGTCTCACTCTACAATTAGTTTGAATAAATGGTGACAGTTTTGTATCTTAGTTTTGAAAAGTCAAGATTGGCGTACTTGAAATCATATTCATGCAATGGACTCACTTATGTCGATATCAATGGCCCAAACCTTCAAATTCTATCCCTTTGTCTTGAGAATGGACTGGTGCGATATAGGTTTCGCTCCTGCAAATCATTGGTATCTTTAGTCTTGGGAGATAATGAGACTTCTATCCCTCATTTGCGTTTAAAGTTTTTAGCTCTCTCTAGTTCTCTCTTTCTCTCTCTAAACACTGCATGAATCGAGGCACATTGTCTCTCTCTCTCAAAACTTGCTTGGTTATTACCTATTTATTAAAGGAAGTAGAGAGAGAATCAGATGATAAGGGTAAAACAAAAAGTGAGAGAGAGGAGATATTTCCCGATAAAGGAGAAGGTCCGAGAGACCCAAGAAATATTTTATTGCGTATTAATGGTCCTTTGGTATAAGTAGGGGCCATTTTGTTTAGAAAATGAATCATTTATTTGCACCTTTTGAAAACAGGTGGGTCAATTTTTCAAATAATGAATCTCTCCATTCATATTATATCTTCATTGTGAAGATTCTTTTTTTATTCAATCGAGTTTATTACTCGATCCGATCTTGCCTGATGATATGTGAGATACTAAATCGGTCTTGGTTTTTTCACCGAGGGTTTTAACTTAATTTTGTTGGCTCTTCTAATTGGTATTTGTTTTTCTCAATTGTCTCTACAAATAAAACGTTCATCTCTACAACCAAAAGATTTTCCTAGGGGAGGATATTATTCATTTTCCTCTCTCGTACAAAATATATATTACTAATATTTTTTGAATCTCAAATTTTTGAGATGTAAAATTTTCAACCCATAGAATAATCTCAGCAAAAAAATAGAGGGTGCAGTTTACATAAGGTTACACTCATTTCCAAATTTTATCATAGCATGTAATTTTAGTGTAAAAAATTATTACGATGGCCTGAAAAGCTTGTCAAAGTTTCTTAGGATGGCTTGAAATTTTATTTTCATCGCTAATAACAAAAATCTTAAACTCCATAATAGATCAAGTAAGTAGATCAATAAACATATAAAAATCTTGAAAATAGATGGTCTAGATAATGTGTTGCAAAATGCACTGTGTTTGGAACTATATATATATATATATATATAATTTTATTTTTATGTTGATACATCTCTGCACAGTTAGAGAGGTTTTCAAAATTAAAGCAACCTTTTCAAATTGACTTTTGTTATACACTTTAATTCTACATTTTAAGGTCGCAAGTCCAAAAGAAATTCCAAAATAATCTATTTATTTAGTTAAAAAAAAATTATGCCTCAAGATTGAATGAAGGCCATCCAATTTTAATAGGTTAGATCTAAGTGTCAAAAAAATTTAAAATTGAAAATTTTCGTTTAAAAATAATTATTTTTCCAAATTTTAGACTAAAATAATTCTCCAATGTGCACTACTCACTACAACTCACACACCACTTGCTTCATATGGACCGCCCTTCCATATGGCTTGGAATGGGCCACATGGTCCTGAAGGTGTACGAGAGAGAAAGAAAATTCTCTCTCCAGAATTTTCTAGAGAGAGATGGAAAAGTCCGTGTTGGCTTCCTTCAATCTCATAAAGAGTTTTTCCCTAGGAAAGCGATGACAATGCAGCCACATAAGATCCAATCTGTCTTTATCCGATGGTTCATTAAAACATTATGGTGGAAATACTGGAGCTTGCAGAGAAAAGGACTAATTTATCTTTTCCTTCAAAGTTTGCAACATCCATGGAAAACATGTCATACGTGTCACATAATTGGCGCGCAGCAAATTTTTTTTTTTTTTTTTTGTAGGGTGGAGTAAGATGCACCTTCAAATTTTATCATGTTTTATAATTTTGATATAAAATGTTCTTCGGATTATCTTAAAATCTAGTTTGATATCTAATTATAAAATGTTACGTTTCAAAAAGAGTTAAAATCAAGTAGAACTATAAACATATAAAAATCTTGAAAATGGACGGTGTAGATAATATGTTGTAAAATGCACTATTTATGAGACGTAAAATCTTTTTATTTTTTATAGTCATACATCTCGATGTCGAGATGATCAATCAAAGGGTTTTTCAATTATAAAACTACCTTTTCCGATGGATTTTTGAGGGGTATATGTAGTTCTACATTATAAGGTAGCATCCTTATATAACCTTTATGTTTTTTGAATGCTAAGATGTAATTTCATTAGGACGCGGTTAGCATGCGACCAAGCCCGCACATTTACAAATGCGGGCTAGGCCATAAATATAATTTTTAAATATATTTGATGGTAATTTTTAGAGAATACATAATCTTTAGCATGGAGATCATGAATATATGAAAAAATAAATTAATTTTGAAAACTAAAAATGATAATTATATTTAAAAAACCTTTTAGATCGTTTGTTATAATTATTTTTAGATGGACCACCTATTTGCATCCATCCTTGAGATGAATGCTTTATACCTCTGGACCGCATATTGTACAAATGCGGCCCAACCTGCATCAAACAATTGTTCATTTCATTATGCTCGGAACTATAACAATAAATAAGAAGAAATAGAAGTGAGGAATACAAGATATGCTCCATACTGCATCTTTGAGTCACCTTAGAAATCCTAGCCTTATTCCACAATTTCCCACAATATCTTTAAGTCCTTGGGACCCAATCATTCATATTTTTTAATGAGAACCCATAGATCTATCCTTCCACAACCACTTAGAACTTTGGAATTACCATTACATGGCTTAGAACTCTCCTTTAAGACTTTAGGTCTACCCACTCTTAACATTAGATCCACACTTCCCAAACTTAGATCTAGCACTCACAACTTAGATAAGTGTTCAAAAAATCAACAAGGTATTTGGGCCTTGGCGGATGCGAGTTACTCAACGAGTCCGAGTAACTCGCTTGAGTTCAACGCAATTTTTTTTAAAGAAAATAAAGAGAAAAAATTGTTATATACAATATGAGCAATACTTTTATTAGTCAAATAGAGAGTAATGTGCTAGTTAGGCCGCCCCATGACAACGTACCTCTTTACAAGAGGTCGTAAGCTCCACTCCGGGGGGGGGGGGCCTACATTTCTTTGGGAACTCCCATCAAATGAAAAAAAAGGGACACGTATTTGTTCCCATTATATGAAAATAAAAAAAATTTGATTTGTCTTTAAAAATGGTGTTCTTCAGTGGAAAATTCGAACCCCAACCACGTTAAAATACAAAAGACAGTCTTTGTTCCCATTATATGGAAAAAAATAAATGACTGTCTTTAAAAATGGTGTTCTCCAGTGGAATTCGAACCCCAACCATGTTAAAACTAACCATGAAGCCACTCAATAACATTTGACATAAACTTGAAGAATCCTTATATTTAAATTTTGAGAAAAATATTGTACAGCCTATTTGCCCAAAACTCATCTCGCTCATAGGACGAGGCCGAGTTTTAGGGGCCCCAGCCGTGAGCCTCATAACACTGACCAAGATATACCCATACGTAGCCTTACACCTCCGATCTATTTTCGACCAATTTCATGTGCATTCTTTTTAGGGATCTGCCAACCAACATTAATGATCGATTTCTTGGAGATCAAAGATCAATTTATCGAATCCAATCTATCATCAATTACTCTGGATGACCTCTTTCCTTTTTAATTTATTTCAATTTCTTCCAGTTTCATATTTATGTGAAAGACCAATTTATTAGTCCTCCCTAAACTTCGAGCCGGACTCAGAGAAAAAATCTAAGAAAAAAACAATGCTGCGAGGGGCCAATCATGTGTTGGCCCTAGCACAAGACGGGCTGGATCAGACCCTCGGGCTGTGGTCGCTTGGCCCTAAGCCATATTTTGTGGCCCAAGTCCTAGTATTTCAGGGTCCGGGCTGTGGTAGCTTGGCCCCAAGCCATATTTTGTGGCCCAAGCCCTAGTATTTCGGGGTCCAGCACATCAGGCTGGGCTAAGCCGTCCAACCCATTTCCCAGCGCCAGTGGTAGTGTAGTGATGATGATGATGACATAGTTAGTTGTAATAGATGATGGCAGTGAGAGGATGATGGTGGAGAGGGTGACGATTTAATATTTTGGAAATAAATTCAAGTGTTTTTAATAAAATAACAAATAAAAAACAAAAAAAGAAGTCCAATGTGAGGGAACAATTAGGAATAATTTAATATTCATCCTTCAAAGCCAAATTACCTGCAATAAAATCACAAAGACCCCAATTAAAATTAAATTTGGAAATAAATTTGTGGCTTAGCAAGACATCAATTGTAAAATGAGGGACTCCAAAGCATCATAAGATGAGCCCCCTTTCCCCAAGCTTTTCTCTACGACCTTCTTCAATTCGCTTGCTCTCTCTCTCATCTCCTCCCCTTCTCTCTCCAACAACCTCCTCACCACCATCTCCACCTCTCCTCTCTCCACCTCTCGCCTCATCTCCGCCCCCACCCCCCAAACATGGCATATCAGCCTCGAATTCACTCTCTGATCACTAAACTGAGGCCAACAAGCCATGGGCACACCAGCGCATATGCTCTCAAGTGTTGAGTTCCACCCACAATGAGTCCAAAATGCACCCACGGCTCGATGGGCGAGCACTTTTTTTTGAGGAGCCCATTCAACAACGAGCCCACACGAGCCCACTTGGTCCATGAATCCACTAGGAAGACCAGCAGTATTAAGCCCATTAACCAAGTCTGAGCGCACCACCCACAAGAAGGGGCGCCCACTATTAGCCAAGCCCCATGCTATCTCCATCACTTGGCTTGAGTCCAGGCCGGCTATACTCCCAAAGCTTGTGTATACAACCGATCTGGGGGGTTGCGTATCGAGCCAAGAGATACATTTATCGTCCTCTAGTAAGATGCTTGAGGATGATGGCAAGTTTAAGGGGCCAATGGCATAGACAGGTCCGCGACATTGTGGTCGGATTTTTTCAAGGGCAGGGCTTTCAAGGGAATCGGAGGTGTTGAAGATCAAGGCCGAGGCTCTGAAGGATTTGCTGGTGAAGCTCGAGATGAATAAAGAGAAATAGTCTGGGTATTTTGTCTTGACAAAGGGGAGGTCTTTGAAGCGGATGGGAGAGAGATCAGGGACCAGTTCGTCAGAAGTATCAGCTGAAAGATGAAAAAATTAGTTTTGTTTTGTTTATTTTTAGGGTGATAAACACATAAAGGAGAAAAAAGGAAAATTGCGCTCGAACAACAACATATGCGATCTAAAAAGTGTAAATTTAACGGTCTAAATGTTTTTTTACTAGAATTATTATTTTTAATTTTTAAAATTTATTTATTTTTTCATATTCATGATCTACATGTTAGAGATTACATGTTCATAAAAATTAAGTCCAAAAATCCATCTCAAAAATAGATTTGTTAATAGGCCCGTCTTTCTATATATATCTAGGCTGGGCCGCATAGAAGCCTGGTCCGAAAAAAAATGGGATCTTAATGGAATCAGATGGATAAAATACTGGGAAAATGACCAAATGACCTCTTCATACGAATCTTTCTATTTCCTAGTAACGCTTCAAGCCACTGTCTCTTGAATGTAGCTGTTCCTTAACTTTGGCTAGGTTCACCAAGTGGATTTTGAAAGAAAGGTTCTTGGAAAAAGCCTAGATTAGGTGTTCAAGTTATTCGGTTGCCACCAGCTCTTATCTTACTAAAAGATTGTAATTAAACGATACAATGGTTATCATCGACTTTTTTCATTTTCAATTGTAAAATTACCAAAATTAGCTCTTATTTCATTAAGGCTATCAACAAGCTCGGCCAACCCAGGTCCTAGCTCAACCGGTACCTGCAGGGCTGGTCCAGGCTTGCCTTTACCAGGACGGGGGCAAAGGAGCCCTGTCCCAAATTAGCCCTAGCCCGGTCCAGGCCAGACCGGGCTGTGGTAGCCATGACACTAGCTTCGCCAGTTCCGGCTCCTGGAACTAGGGTCATGGTGGCCTGCCCCTCAAGCTATACTTTTAAGTTCACACCCTAGACTTCTAGGGTCGACAAGATAGGCCAGGCCACTCAATCATTGCTTGTCGTTGACTGCTCTCATAAAGAGCAGGGGAATTTATGTCTGAGTGAGGTTTGTACAAGATGCCCACCATATACTATACAAATAAGACGTCAATTTGTTGGAAGATGTATGTCTGTTGTCAAAAACCTTAAAGATGGTTTGAAAATCCATGTTCAACTCTAATTATGAAATGTATTGAGCAAATCTATAAACACCTGAATATCTTGAAAGTAAACGATCAAGATAACTTTGTTATAAGATGTACTATTTTTGGGACTTGAAATTTTTTTTTTCTCTTTTTAACCATACATATATCGATGTCAAGATCATCAATTTTAAGCTTTTCCAATTTTGAAACACTCTTTTCTACTGTATTTTTGTTGTGCACCTATAGTATAACGTAGCAACCCCATATATGTTGTTTCTTTTATGTAAATTTCCTTCAGCAGTCTCTTCAGGCATTTTATAGTTAAACTCGCAAACAAGTTAATTTTGAAATAAATTCATAGAAAGCTGTTTTTTCTCTTTTTTGTTTTTATTTTTGCTACATTTTTTGCAAACAAGTTAATTTTGAAATAAATTCATAGAAAGCTGTTTTTTCTCTTTTTTGTTTTTATTTTTGCTACATTTTTTGTTAACTTGCCATACTGGAGTTGGTATTATTTTTCATAGTTTTTCTGATTTGTTTCATTTTAATTCTTATTCTACTTTTGTGGGTAATTGATTGATCATCGTTTATTTTCATTGTTTTCTGAGTCGTTCAAGAATAGATGATCTGTATTTCAAGTAATTTAGATTTGTAAAAAAAAAAAATTCAAATTCAAATACAAACTGCAATGGGCTATTACTGTAGCTATCAGCCAATGGGGCTGACCTCAACTATTCCATTGTGGTTTGTATAAGGCCGAGACCCTAAACAATCAAAAGCCCACCTTCAAATAGGACCAAAATATGTTGTTTTAGTATCAAAAATTTTTAGGACATCCTAAAATTTATTTTCATCTCTAATTATACATTTTAAATATTCAAAAGCAGTGTGGACCAAGGAGATCTATGAACGCTTGAAAATATTAAAAACTGATGGTCTAGATAATACATACATACATACATAATAAGATGCACTACTTTCAATACTTGAAATCTATTTTTTCCTACATCTTGAGGTCAAGATGATCAAATTGAGGGTTTTTCAACATCCAAACAATCTCTTTTAATGAATTTTTGAGTTGTGCCTTAATTTGATTATTCAGGGCGTCACCCTTATATAAACTTTTTCCTATATGTATATATTCAAAATAAGTTTTTTTTTTTTTTTTTTCATATTAGTAATTATTGGGTTCAATGTGATCAACTGGAGATTTATCAGGGAATCAAGGCCCTAAAGTAAGGTTTTCCAAACTAGAAAAATCAGATCACTATGTTCCATATCAGGGTACTTCAATCATTCACATCATGAATTTCTTCATCAATATGCTTTGGTCAATTAGAAAAAAACCGCAAAAGAGAAGGGCAGTTCTGATCAGAAACAAGTTCTCTCTTACCTCTTTCATCAAGATAACCCTTCTCTCTGATGGCCTGAAACCCCAAAGTCGAGGTAGAGCTACTCGTTCTGAAGGCCATTCTCTTGATTCCAAGCTCTTCAGCCAAATCCTGTGTAAAATACATCACCGCATCAGTTATCAGACAAGAAACAGGGACCCCACCCTTTCTCGACTGCAAATCCTCCATTAAAGCTCGAAATGGGGGCCTGCATTTCTCATTTAGAACGAGAACGAGCTCCACTTTGTCCATTTCCCGAGCCTCCTGGTTCGATAGGCCCAAGCAAATGGACTCGATACTGAACCCAGGACTAGGCTCGAGGTGAGGAGCGTTATAGTCCGTGTGGACTATTGTTATGAAGAAACCCCTGCTGTGGAGTGTGCGAGCTAGCTGGATCATGGGGTTTATGTGACCTTGATAAGGGTAAGAAAAGAGAACCAGGTGTCCAGTATATGGCATAGAAACTCTATTCTCCGCCATCAAAGAGTTTGGAAGAGGAGTTGAAGGTTTAATGGGGAGAGTGAGGCGAGAATTGAGAAAATGGAGAACCAGAGTTTGGAGTTTGAGATTTTTATCCATATAATATAAGAATTAATTTTACCCCCGGGGTAAGTTGAAGAAAGATGCTTTGGTCAAGCGTGCCGGCGGCCCAACCTTGGACTACCTGGGCCCAGGCCACGAAATTTGGCCTAAGGGCTATGGCAAAGCCTGACCTTAAAATCAAAGGTTGGTGGGCCGGGCCACACGTCGGGTCATGGCTAGGGTCCGATTGATCCTCTTCCATTGGTGGGTAAACCACCTAACCCAAACTTAGGGTTGGCTTGGGCGAGGGTCCCTCCTGGCCAATCTAGGTTGGCCCCAACCTCTAGTTTGCAAGCAACCGTGTCTCGTCCTAGACAGCCCGAGCCTATTGTTATTGGGCAAGCTTTCTATGCTTCCCCTATACAAACTACAACCTAAAACTTACATGCTTTCTCTTATTCACCCATCCATTTTGAATGGACAGTTGAGATGACCCAATCACAATACCATGTTTCTACACTTTTTTATTTTTAATTTTTTTTTAGAAATCATTTTGAAACCAAATCCTGAGCATCCGCTTCTTTGTTAAACTCACACGGGCAGAAAATAAAAAAAAAAATGTTATCAATAAAATAAAATGATTAAAATACTCCTGAAAAATTCAATAGGTATTTTGATTATTATATTTGATTGAAATTTTTTAAAAATATTTTTCTAAGTGTGTCACATTGAGAAGATGATATGTACCAAATTTCATATTCATACAACTTGTATAAATAAATAAATAAATACTCTGAGTCACCGGATCTAGATCAAACGGCACATACTCACTTGATCTCAATTGGACGGCTGGATGGGAGGGGAAGTATGTATTTTTTATGTTGTAGGGGAGTATAAAAACCTTTTACATTGTTATCCTTAGGGAACGTTTATGTCGCGTGAAAATAAAATAGTTTCCAAAAAATATTTTTGTGTGGAAGAATTCTCTCATTTGGATAAGTGTGGAATATTATCACTCCAACTGGTCTTAATATATCTTTTCACACCAATTAAGGGCTGATAGGTACGAAAATATAATGACACCTAATTGTACGAGGGAAGTTTTCCATAAGAAAATATTTCTAGGTAAGTATTTTTATACAAATCAAACGTACCTTTAGTTTTAGTTTTGTCCTTGTGGAAAGATTTGGACAGAGACGAGGGGTAGCATATTACGAGATGTCTGCTAAGATTGCATTATGTGGATCCTGAACCATCAATCTTTTAGTTATGGTTAGCAAGCCTCTAACTAAAACTGTCTCTACATTGCGGTTTCCATTTTAATCGTTAACACCACCCCCACAAGCACTTTTAAAAAATCAACTCTTGATCTACTTGAAAAAACATGGCCTATCTTCTCTGCTTAATTACCTAAAAACAAATAAAAATGTAGGGCCATTGTCTCACTCCACTCATCGATAAGGGAAAGTATATAATGAAATTATTTATTTTTGGTACAAAGTGGTCACAATTAATTTTGACCGTTGGATGTGAAATTGAGTGGCTGCAATTCATCGATAAGAGAAAGTATATAATAAAGCCATTTATTTTTGGTACAAGGTGGTCACAATTAACCATGACCATTGGATCTGAAATTAGGTGGCTGTATTTATTTCATTTATCAAGCTCAAAATTCAAAAAAAAATTCTCAACTTTTTGACAAACTCAAGTTATCAGATTCATATCGGATGGTTATAAGTAACTGTATTCTCTATGTACCAAAAGGAAATGGTCCTCATTACATACAATCCCCATCGGTAAAACCCAATTTTTGAATACTTTCAAGACTACTTCAGAAAATGAAACGTATTCCATATGTGCTAGGAAGAAGTAACGTCATAAAATTAAACAAAAACTGAATAAGTTTTGGATGGTGGAAAAAGATAACGTGAACAAGAAAGGTCTAGTTTTTCGATGGACAAATCCATTGTTTCCAACGTGGATTAGTGTGGCATATCGTCCACCCAACATATCGGTGTCAAGTTGCGAGATCGCTAATCCTGATCGGTTTAGATTGAAGATCTAGAAAATATTAAAAAAAATAAAAAATAAAAAAATATTAAAATGAGGGTTTATGTTGAGGATTTCGATAACCTAAAAAAATATTATATTAACTAAAAAAAAATAAATAAAAATGAAAGGGGATGGTTAAGGGGGAATAGAGCCTCGTACCTTCCCAGAAGATTCCAAATCTAAAACGTTGATTCTCGTCGCAGATCAGTAGGTTTTGAAACGCGGGACTCCAAAACGATTCAAATTTAGATAGGAACACATCGGACATGGTCAATTGTCAATGAATATTCGCGTGCTATTCAGTTTTGGATTGCTATTCATTTTTAGTATAAAAAAATCAGATTGCTTTGATGTGAACTTCAACAATTAAGAAATGTTAAACACTTCATGCAAATTTATTTTGATTTTTGTGTCCAATCAATACACATCCCCAGCTAAGCTACCCATATTCACTGATGATTGTGAACTTCTTGTGAGGAGGATACAAGTAGGAATAATTCCAATTAAAAAATCCACCCCTCAAAGCCAAATTACATGCAATAAAATAAAATGAAGAGGACCCCAATCACAATTTGATTTAATCAAATTATGGCTTAGCAAGACATCAATTGTAAAATTAGGGAGTCCAAAGCTTCATAAGATGAGCCCCCCTTCCCCAAGCTTCTCTGTACAACCTTCTTCAATTCGCTTGCTTTCTCTCTCATCTCCTCCCCTTCTCTCTCCACCAACAACCTCCTCACCACCATCTCCACCTCTCCTCTCTCCACCTCTCTCCCCATCTCTGCCCCCACCCTCCAAACATGGCATATCAGCCTCGCATTCACTCTCTGGTCACTAAACTGAGGCCAGCAAGCCACGGGCACGCCAGCGCAGATGCTCTCAAGCGTTGAGTTCCACCCACAATGAGACCAAAACGCACCCACTGCTCCGTGGGCTAGCACCTTTTTCTGAGGAGCCCATTCGACCACGAGCCCACGCAAGCCCACTTGTTCCGTGAACCCACTAGGAAGACATGCAGCATTAAGCACATTAATCAAGCCTGGGCGCACCACCCACAAGAAGGGGCGCCCACTATTAGCCAAGCCCCATGCTATCTCCATCACTTGGCTCGACTCCATGCTGGCTAGGCTCCCAAAGCTTGTGTATACAACTGACCTGGGGGGTTGCGTATTGAGCCAAGAGATACATTTATCGTCCTCCGGTAAGATGCTTGAGGAGGATGGAAAGTTCAGGGGGCCAACTGCAAAGACAGGTCCGCGACATTGAGGTCGGATTTTTTCGAGGGCAGGGCTCTCAAGGCAATCGGAGGTGTTGAAGATCAAGGCAGAGGCTCTGAAGGATTTGCCGGTGAAGCTGGATATGAATAAACAGAGAGAGTCTGGATCCTTTGTGTTGACAAAAGGTAGGTCTTTGAAGCGGAAGGGTGAGAAATCAGGGATCGGCTCGTCGGAAGGATGACCTGAAGAAGGAAAAATCAGTCCTATTTGTTTTCAGAGTGAGAAAGAAGAAAAAATGGGCTTTCAATGCAATCGGGTAGATGAAGTATCAGGAAAATGACCAAATGGTCTTGCTAAAGGTACCTAATTAAACCGTATAATGGCTATGAACAAAGACCTTTTGGTTCGGTTGTTCTAATTTTTATTTAATTACCTCGTATTCCATTAGGGCCAGCCAATAAAAACAAAATATTACCCAAATGTAATAGGATAGGAAAGTGCATATTACCATCGTAGAATTGTATTTAACAAGATAGGAATGTGCATACTATACCATTGTATTATCATTACTTATAAGGTGCAGTTTGCATGCATACTATACCATTGTATTATCATTACTTATAAGGTGCAGTTTGCATACGGACTTATCTGTAGGTGATACGGACTTATCTGTAGGTGTAGAGGTAAGGTGTACTTTCAAATTTTATCATGGTATATGATTTTCATGTAAATTGTTCTTAGGATTATCTCAAAATCTATTTTTATATTTAATCATAAAATTTTAAATTTTAAAAATGGTTAAAATGAAGTAGTTCTATAAACACATGAAAATCTTGAAAATAAACAGTGTAGATAATATGTTTTAAAATGCACTATTTATGATACTTAAAATCTTTTTATTTTTCATAGTCATACAACTCGATGATCGATCAAAGGCCTTTTCAACATTAAAACTACTTTTTTCGATGAATTTTTAAAGGACATCCGCAGTTCTATATTATAAAGTAGCATCCTTATATAAAATTTTTGAAAAAACCACTTGCATAGTATTATCATTATATACACAACAAAAAAAACAAAAATCTTTTTTCACTCAAGAATTTTTTATGGTATCCGAACAAAGTTAATCTTTTTGGCCTTTACACTGAGGTCGTTTTCTCTCTTCTTCTCTCTAAAACTTGCACGTCACCAAGCCTTCCACACTAGTGTTCCTACCCAACGTGATGCACTGAGGTTCCGCGCTACTGTTTCCGTGCAAGAACCACAAAAGGTTAACGGCATCACCACTTGTTCCATGCAAATACAAATTTGAGCCTCTTCTCCTTTTTGTTTTATTTTCTCCATTTGTTCAAATTATAACGCCATCACCACTTTTTCTCTCTCAATATTAAAATTTGTTCTCTTCCATATTCTAATAGTTAAAGCCTCTTCCTCTCTCTAGAAGTTTCGTCTAAAATTCCCGTAGTTTTGTCATGATCGATCTAAACCTCGAATATCTCTTATCCCAATGGACGATTCATCTTCATCAAATAAAGTACCCTTATCCTTCCACCTTTAATATAGGAAATTTAGTATCGATTAAATTGACATAAAATAAGAATAATCTCTCTGATTGAGAGTCATGAACTTTTTGGATTCATTAACGGTGATTATCTTACACCAAATCAAAAGATTTCATCTCTTTATAATAAGAGTGAAATCGAAAACTTAAATTATAAATCATGGCTGAAGTCCGATCAACTTCGTAATCCTTGAATCACAGGGATATTATCAAAAAAGTGTATCTGCCATGTTGTTGGCCTCAAGACTTATGCAAAAATTTGGAATTGCCTAAAAAATGCCTTTGTATGTACTTCTCAATCTAGGAAATTCTAGTTCACCCAGCAACTCCAAATCTGCAAGAAAGAAAATTCAATTCTATCGTAATATATATGCAAATTCAAGAATATTTATGAAGATTTGACGGCTATAGGAAAACCTATATCATATGAAAATAAGGTAATATTACCATTGTAAAGTCCAATAGGATAGGAAAGTACAAATTGCCATTGCAGACTGAAATATTTTGTTTCTATCACTTGCAACAGGCAAGCCAACCCTAGTCCTAACTCAGTTGGTTCCCTACAAGGCCATCCAGGGCTTGCCTCGACCAAGATTACACCAAAGGGCCCCTGATCCAAATTGACCCTAGCGGTTTAGGAAAAATCAGGTAGTTTAAATTCTAATCGCTCGGTTAGACCTGCTTAGATTTGGGCGGTTCCGGTTTGGGTCGACTTTAGTGAACTAGCCAGGTATCTTAAAAAAAAGATAAAAAATATATATAAAATCCTAAAAAATAAGTGATTTTGTTTGTAATGCATTTTTAAATGTTTTTCATCATTTGGCAAAGATTGAAAATTGTTTTGGCCATTAATACTTATGCTTACATTTTCCCATCTTTTCTGAAAAATTTCAAAATCCATTTTCATTAATTTTCAACTTCACAAATCGATTCTTTAAAGTCCAATTTTTTTTATTAATTTTCAACTTCATTTGGATGTGCTTTGTTTAATCATTTTTTAAATATACTTTCATATTTTATTACATTTTATTTTATTTTATTTGTTTAAATTTTTTTTTACCGTTCGAGACTTGTCAGGTTAGGGCGGTTGAATTGGACAGTTTACCAGTTAAGCCAGTTAACTGTTCCAGTTCAATTTTTCCTACACTGAGCCCGAGCCGATCCAAAAAGGGTTGGGTTTTTCTAGCCATGACCACTAGTCCTTACCCATCCCAACACCCAGCCCTAAGGTGATTGTGGCCTAGCCTCAAGCTAAATTTTTAGGCCCAAACCCTAGACCCTAGATTTTCAGGGGCGACCAAGACAAGCCAAGTCTCCCAATCATTACCTACCCTAGATTTCTCTCTGGGACTTTATGTATGAGGGAGATTTGTATAAGGTGTCCATCTTATACTACACAAGTAAGGTAAAAGTTTTTTCGGAAGATATAGGTTAGGTGTCAAAAACCTTAAGATAGCTTAAAAATCTATGTTCAACCATAATTATGAAATTTACCATTTTAAATAATCGAATATTGAGCAGATCTATAAACACTTGAAAATCTTGAAAATAGACAGTCCATATAACTGATTACAAAATGTCTTATTTTTTAGCCTTGAAATTATTATTTTTTTTTATATCCATACATCTCAATGTCGAGATAATCAATTAGAAGATTTTCCAACTTTGGCACACACTTTTCTATTGGATTTCTTAGATGCATCTTATTTTTACATTATAAGGTTGCAACCCTATATAAACTTATTCCTTTATGTAAATTTCCTTTACCAGTCTCGAAGCATTATATAATAAAACTCTCAACCCAGTTAATTTTGAAATAAATTCAAAGTAAGTTGTTTTTAGAATAATTTGTTTGGATATGAAATGTAAGAAAAGTGCGAGTATAATATTGTGACGTGTCAAGTTTTTAGAATAAATTCAAAGTAAGTTGTTTCTATGAGTCGGCCGACTCAGCTATTTCAAAGGAGGCCCGCTACCTAAATTCATCTGACAGATTGATTCCGGAATCAAAATTTTTAGAGGTTGATAATCTATAACGGGGTAAACATGAATATTTTAAAAACTATAATAATAGTTTTTAATGTATTTTCCTAGACCGTTGATTTAAACTCAAGCAAGACACAAAGAAATCAAATAGGAAGCTGTTACTTTTACATGGAAACAATGAAAGCTCGAATATACTAGGGGGTTTCAGGTATGTTATAAAAGCTGGTCTTTACGAAATCAAGAATTAGGGTGACAGATTTTCTATAGGAATTCAATTGAAAAGCTTTTGTAAAGGATTGGAAAAACAAATTAGCATTGTTAATAGAGCACCCAAAAATTACCTACCTGGAATTAGGGCTAGAATAGCTGCTTTGAGTCTTGGAGGCCCAATTTCAATGCGTTTTTTAGCTGATAATCATATTGTTTTAATGGTGGGTGGCTCTGTTTTTATTCATGGTGGGATCCCCCCTAAGGATGGAGTTCCATGAATATAGGGATCGCGATCCTAAAATTCTGAGAGTGGGGATCTAATTTATTCGGGAACACGTTCTGTGGGACAGTGGGAGCGAGATCCGTGAGGTAACAAGAGCGAGCTCCATTGTGAATGGGATCGAGAATCTTAAAAGTATGAGCGAGCTCCCAAAAAGTTGAGAAAGTGTTCCGAACGAGATCCCGGCCACATATCATTGGAGCTGGGTTCCGAAGCGAAGCACCACCCTAGTTGGACGCTTCCGATAACTATGGTCCGGAGCATCATAACGTGACATCTTAAGCTCTATTTCTACTACAGTAAGGGACACCTTTCCCACTTAACTACCTAAAAAAAAGTCTATTAAGCTTTGGCTTAGAAGTAGATATATTAGATTGTGCACCAGACGTCAAGGGTTAAAATCTTTGAAGTTTGTGCCAAGAAAAAAACAACGATGACCTATCCTTTTAAGTTCCTCAAGCTGATATGCCATTTTTCAAAAATAATGGATTTAAACCACAAGGTTGACGTCTCGAATTCTATTTCTACCCCTTCGAAAGAGCCGCTTCCCCATTGAACTACCCTTGTTTCGTTTTTGAACCCATAACAATCGGCTTTAGGCAGCTTGCATTGACCTTAATCTCCATAGGCAATCAATATATATTCATACCCTCACTTGTTCTTACTTTCAAAAGCCGGAGCATTATTTTTTTGGGGGTCATTTGGATACCTGGCCTCTTTGGGAGATGTCTCTCCAGGAAGGGCAGCTCACTTCCGCTTTTGGTGGCGTTTCGCCTTTGCAAGTCCTTGAAAAGATCATAGTTTCCCGTCGGGATTTTTCAAAGCTCGAGGATCTAAGGCTTTCATCATCTGTTTCCACCAGACTTGATATTCATGCGAGAGAACTGGAAGCTGGGTTTCAAAACTCTATGTTGATGATGCTTCCAAGAGAGAATTGGAAGTTGGGGACTCAAAACCTTCAATTAATCATGCTTTTGATAGACAATTTGAAGTTGGGGATTCAAAGAGTTCTATAGAAGCAGCTAAATTACAGGACTCAGAACCTAGGGAGGAGGAGCGAAATCGATTCATTCGTGTTTGGTTGAATTTTGTTATTATTATTTGTTGGGTTCTCTGGTTTTTATGTTGGGTTTTTGTTCACTCCTCGGTGAAATTTGTTGATATTATTCTTTGGGTTCTCCAGTTTCTTTTTTTTTTTTCTCACTTGTCTTTTTCTTTTGCTGGATTTTTTTTTGCTAATATCCCACACTGGATTTGGTTTCATTGTTCATACTTAAGAGTTTTTCTTATTTTTTTCATTTTTATTCTTATTCTAGTTTTGTGGGTAGTTAATTGATTATTATTTATTTTCCTTGTTCCTTTAAGTCTCTCAAGTTTATTTTTATTTGTTGGGTTGCACTCTCTTTACAGCCATTTCTCAGTTTTTTTGGAGGCATTTTGAAGGGTTCATTATTTTCTATTATTTTGGATGGTTAAAGTATTGTTGGGTTTTTGCGTATGAGATTTTCACATGGGTGCGGTTTGTATAAGGCCGAGGTTCTAAACAATCAAAAATAAAACGCACCGAGAAATGTGATTTCAATACTAAAAATTTTTGTTATACCCTTAAAATTTATTTTTATATTTAATTAAAATATTTAAAACTTTAAAATAGTGTACATCGAGCATATCTATGTAAACTTGAAAACTTTGAAAATTGGCCGTCCAAAATATATTATAAGATGCACTATTTTTAAATTTTGAAATCCATTTATTTCTCATGGGGAGATGATCAATTTGAAGATATTTGAGCATTAAAACAATCTCTTCTAATGAAAATTTTGAGTTGGGCTCTAATTTGATTATTTAGAGCCTTGGCCCTGTATAAACATTTTCCTTTTCCGCATTCATATAACTTATTCTTATTCATTTTATTATTAAGGTTTTGAATGCGGTGCATTACTCCTATGCTGACCCGACACTGGAAGCCAAGGCAAAATTCGTTTGCACCAATGATTTAAAAATTGGCGAGTCGAACCGGACTCGTCAGGTTCGACTCGAGAATCGACACAGCCCGTGCCAGTTCCAGCACAAAACCGAAAACCGCTCGGTTCTGTCCGGTTCCCTCTCGGTTCTAGCCTCAAAAGCACCTTCACACGTGTATACGCGTCACGCGTGTGATACGCACCACTCCCACACGTGTGTATACATGCGATACGTGCGATACGCACATGCATGCCTAGCCGGTTCAGGCCTCAAAAACACTTTCACATGTGCATAGGTGTCGCGCGACACACTACATGTGGCACACACCACTCCCACATGTGCCACTTTCACACGTGCGACACACACCATGTGTGGCACACACCACTCCCACATGTGCCATACGTGGGCCACACACATGCACTCCCACATGTGCCACTTTCACACGTGCGACACACACCACTCCTACATGTGCCACACGTGGGCCACACACATGAATAATGTAATGTATTATTTTTCTTACAGTTGTGAATAATATATTTTAAATTAAAGAATATTATAAAATATTTTTAATTTGTTATTATTTATCTAATAAAATAATTATAAAATATATACTAATAATTATAGTTTCAAAATATAATATTATAATTAGTTATGCTGTAATAATTTTGGATTAATGTTAGTTAGGCTGTAATAATTTGGATTTTTTTAATAGATTCGGGTTTTTCGCCAAAACGAGATTTTAATGGTCATTCTTTCATTGATTTAGTCTACTCTTTATTATAGTCCATGTATAATTATATATTTTATCCATGATAACTCTATGATTTTTCTTTTATGTGACGCAAATTTAATACTTAAGTTTATACATAGAAAGAGCATCTCAATATTCATAAATTGATGAAAAAAATGAAAGTTAATAATATAGTACCCTCATTTCTTATTGGATTTCTAAAAAACATTTATAATAAATTTTAATAATTTTTTCGATTTTTTTTGAAGCTTTAATCCGACCGATTCAATCGATTTCCGATCCAAATCGCTAATTCGTCCATTCAAATCGATTTTTAAAATGCTCAATCCGAGTCACCGATCTGTTTTTTAAACCATTGATTTGCACCAAAGACAACATGGGCATTAAAATTATTTTTTATTTTTTAATTTTTACGTGGCCAGTTGGGCCTGAGGCCATGTGATTTTGTTTTTAGTGGTGTCATGGATGCTGTTTAATAAGCCTACTTTTGATACAGACAACTATTTATCTTTTGTTATTATTGGTATGATGGATATTGTCGGTGTCTCTATTGTTTTTAGTGGTATCATGGATGCTGTCGGTACCAATATTTGTTGCAAATTAAAATCTATTCAAGCGACGTCGAGAAAATCAATTCGGCCAAGATTTTTTGGATCTGCAGGCGAGTTACTCAGAAGCCACGGCACGCCAGCTCTGGCTGAGGTGCGTTGCTCGGAGGCCAAGCTACTCCAGATCGGTCCGAGGCGAGATACTCCAACGACTCCAAGTAAGTATTTTATCGAAATCCAATACTTTTTTTTAAAAAAAAACTGAAGAAATAAAATGATTGTATAAAATTCGAGCGTCACTATCAACAAAATTGTTGACTGACGTGCTAGTTGGTAAGCGAACCTCATATCCAACTATTTTTTTTAAAAAAAAAATTATAGAAATAAAATGATTATATAAAATACGAGCGTCACTATTATCAACAAAGTTGTTGACTGACGTGCTATTGGTGGATGAACCTCATACTCTAGCGGGGTTCGAACCCCTAGGAGGCACAATTTATTCGAAACAATAAACCATTCTAAATAAAAAGTAGTATATATTTAAAGGAAACAGTTTATATAAAGATAGTAGAACTACCAATTAACTTAAAAAATCTGTCGAAAAAAAGTATTTTTAATGTTGAAAAACTGTTAGATTGATCATCTCAACATCGAGAAGTGTTATCATGAAAAATAAAAAGATTTTAAGTCTCATAACTAATGCATTTTTACAACATATTATCTACACCGTCCATTTTCAAGATTTTCATATATTTATAAATCTACTTGATTTTAACCATTTTTAAATTTTTAAATTTTATAATTAGATATAAAAATAAATTTTGAGATAATCCTAAAAACATTTAACATCAAAATTATATACCATGATAAAATTTGAAGGTGCACTTTACCTCTACATCTATGGATGGTATGCAAACTGCACCATTCTAGAAATAACAAAAAAAAAACTTATTGTCTTTATCCCGAGATACGATTGATCTGTAATCTTTTGTCTCTCCTCTTGTATCCCTCTCACTCACTCTTCTCCAGTGTTTCTCCAAACACTTTTCCTTTCCCCTGATAACCTCTCGCCTTCGTGAAATCCAACCTAGTCGTTTCTCTCTCTTCACTTATATACTTTAAACTTCTCTATTCCCCTCTCTTCCTACGTCTCTTAGTCTCTCTAGAAATATGAAGAGAGAGCATAAGGAGATAAAGTGTGGGGAGAGAGATAAAAAAACAGAGAAGTGGTGTGGGGAGAGAGAGAAATTTGGGGGAGAGATAGAAATTTAAGAGGATGACTTTTAAAAAAGTCTATGTTTTTTTAGATTTGTTTGGCCTAAAAACCAAGGTTTAAATTAGCTAAGGGGGTTAGAAGAAATAAAATTTACAATTTTTATGTTTCAAGATATCTTTTAAAACCTTGGATCTATTGTCAAATGAAACCTAAAAAAAGAGGGTATAGAGATATTTTTCCTAAAAAAATAGGACACTACCTTATAAAATTTCGATGGAAAACATCATGGATGTAGTTTGTGGATAAAATAATAGAGTCTCATGATGTAGTTCTAGCATGCGAACCCCTATTATGGTTTTGAAATCCATATCTACCTCTGATTATGCAATTCACTGCTCCAGATGTAGTACAAATCTTGTGGATCTATAAACACTAAAAAACAAACGTTCTAAATCGTGTGTTACAATTTAAATCGTCTGTTACAAGATAGACCATTTTGAGGGCTTGAAGTCATGTTTTCACATATCTATTAGAGTCATGGTCGAGATTCCCATAGCAAATTTGCAATTTTCAAAGAGATTTTTCCATAAGGCCTAAACCTTATTTTGATCTTTTCCAACCATAATTCGTGCACAAGAAACATCTTTGACCATTCGAAAATTAAATTTCACACTAATTAAGAAATTTTAAGATAAAAGAATGCTACAAATCTAGATCTAAAGATGAGCGCTCCAAATAATGCAGTAGAAGGTCGACTATTTTTAAAACTCCAAAAAAAAATTTCAAATTCAATGTGATCACGAGGAGGGTTGTTAATGCCAATAAGTTTTTTATTTTTTCTATCATTTTGCCTAAGATTGTGAAGTGTTTTGGACATGAATATTTATTTTTAATTTTCTTGTTCTTTTGAATTATTTTTAAAATACCTTTTTTTACAAATTGATCTTTCTTTTAACAATTTTTCACTACTTTTTTAACCTCATTTAGATTTGTTGGGTTTGATTTTATTTTAAACATATTTTTCATATTTTTGAGGTTATTTTATATTTCTTTTTTTTTTAACATTTTTTTTACCTGGACAAGACCTGCCCAACTCTCCCAAGTTTCGGCCAGGCCAGGGCCGAGTCCGGGTCCGGGTCCGGGTTCCAGGGTCGAGTCGTGCTTTCCTACACTGCTTGAATCAATCACATTACTAATTTCTTCATCGATATGCTGTAGTCATTTAGGAAAAACAGCAAAAGAAAAGGACAAGGAGTTCATATCAGATACAAGTTCTCCCTCACCTCTGTTATCAAGATAACCCTTATCTCTGATAGCCTGAAAGCCCAAAGTCGAAGTAGAGCTACTCGTTCTGAAAGCCATTCTCTTGATTCCAAGCTCCTCAGCCAAATCTTGTGTAAAATACATCACCGCATCAGTTATCAGATAAGAAACACGGAGCCCGCCTTTTTTCGACTGTAAATCCTCTATTAAAGCTCGAAATGGGAGCTCGCATTTCTTATTTAGAGTGAGAATGAGCTCCACTATGTCCATTTCTCGAGCCTCCTCGTTGGAGAGGCCCAAGTAAATGGGCTCGATGGTGAGCCCAGGTCTAGGCTCGAGGTGAGGAGCGTTATAGTCGGTGTGGACTATGGTTATGAAGAAGCCTCTGCTGTGGAGTATGTGAGCTAGCTGGACCATGGGGTTTATGTGACCTTGAAAAGGGGGAGAGAAGAGAACCAGGTGCTTAGTATAAGGCGTTGAAACTCTATTCTCCGCCATTAAAGAGTTTGGGCTAGGAGTTGAAGGGTCGATGCCGAGAGAGAGAGAGAGAGAGCGAGAGAGAGGCGAATACAGAAAATGGGATCGAAGTCTGAGACTAATAATATATTTGAGACCTACCGATATACCAAAGAAGGCCCCATGTAATGTGTTTTATACTTTGGTCAAAGTGGGGGGCCCCGGCCCGGTTAAGGACAACCCTAGCCGTAACCGTAACCACTAGATATGGCCGGAGGGCTAAGGCAAGGCCTTGACAGTAAAATGACCAGTGTCCAGGCCGGGGTGCACCTAGACTCATGACCTAGCCCGGACCAAATCTATCTACAGGTAAAACCACATAACCCTAAAATAAGGTCGGCTTGGGCAAGGGCTTCTCGGGTGCAATCTAGGCCGGTGCCGGCCCCTACGGTCCCAGCCTGACCGACCCCATTATGACCCATAGTTCTGTCCAATGTTTTAAGGTCAGGGAATTTATGATCAGGATTACCGATTTGGATCCCAATTTGTTGGGACCAGTGTTTTAAAAAACGTCGAGTCGAACCAAACTCGTCCGGTTCGATTCGAAAATCGTGAAAAGGGGACCGGATCGCCTAAAAAATCGAAAATCGTCCGGTTCTAGAGAGAACCGGACGATTCTGTACAGTGAATCG